GGTTTGGGGCATTTCCCTTACATGACTGAAGGACACAAATCCATGAAGAGCTGCAGCCTTATGCCAGGAGCGTAGTGTCATGGAACAAGGCAAAATGACTACCATCCCTTTAGGGTCACCAGCGTTTCCAACCTTAGCTCAACCAGGAACCAGGCTGCCTTTCATGGTCCTACGTATTAGCCATAAAATACAGGATGCCCATGGTACATTTCATAGACCCAAGGAGGCTGGACAGGAAGGAGGGCACAAGCGAGGTTGCTTGAGCCTCACTTAGAAGCAGCTATGATGGGAGGGAACTGGGTGGAAAAGAGGATCTGAATAACAGTGGAGGGATTGGGGTCATGTGTAAGGGGGATAAAGGGAAATGGCCAGATGGGATGGTCATGAGAAAGAATGAAAATCTGCAACTGATGGAGGGTGGTAGGGTGCATCTCCAGGAAAAAATGGAGAGCTGGGATAAGGGAGGTAACCAAGAATCAATGAGGGTGTCCTTAGGTGTGACTCACAGCAGTGGGAATATGGAGACTGGGGAGGCTGCCTCCTGTGCCCAGGCAAGAATCCTGGTGGAACCAGAGGGACATCAACCTACCTGTAGGGGTAGATGATTAATCTTCTCTAATCACCCCATAGGCAGTGGCAGAGTTCCTCTCTATCCATTCCAATGTTGTGGATTCTTGAATGAAAGACGCATACCCGCAGTCTTAAATTTAATATGTCCTAATCAGCTCAATGACTGGGCTGCTCCCAAACTCCCACATTGTTAACGCCTCTATTCCAATACTCATATTTCATCTTTGTTGCCCTTGACACAATGGAGGGAGTCCTCCTGGGACCACTCTTCCACAGGTCTTACCTGATTGTATGCTTTCTCTTCTGAAACTCTCACGCCTGGATCTTATTCCTTCCCTGACATGACTATTCTCATTCTCCTCCTGGTCCTCTTGCCCATGAATCCCTGCCTCTGTCTCTCTGCCCACTGGCCACCAGCCACTTTAATAATGAATCTGAACCAACTTGGGGCAGGGACCCACAGCGTCTTACATGTAGGATTCTCATGTAATTTGAATTGGGGGAGTCCAATTAACATAAGTATTAAGTCAAATCCACAGCACACACTAACAAAATGTTCAACCCAAAACTTATCCTATCTGCAAAATATGCAGAGATTGGGGATGACTAATAGCAAGGCCATCCAATAACAGGCCCAACTTGAGACCCATCCCATGGACAAGCACCAATACCTGACAGGAAGATCAACAGAATCAACTAACATGGACCCTTGGGGCTCTTGGAGACTGGACCATCAAGCAAAGAACATACATGGGCTGGACCTAGGCCTCCACGCACATATGTATCAGATATACAGCTTGGTCCCATGTGGGTCCTGAAGATCTGGAGCAGTGGGCTATCCCAAACGCTGTTGCCTGTATGTGGGATATGTACTTCTAACTCGGCTGCCTTGTCTGGCCTCAGTGGGAATGGAAGCATCTAGCCTCATACAGCCTTGAAGTGCCAACATGAGGGAATAATATAAGAAATAAATGGTTACAAACATTTGTTGCCCTAAACGTTTTCTACATAATATAAAAGCACTAACCACCATATTGTGAGAGAAATTAGTTGTTTGTAGAAGATATTCTAGGTTATTTGTAGGGTCCAAAAAATGTTGATATCATTCAAATAACTAAATTCTTAAACACAGAGATTTTAAGTCTCTGGTTTCCATCTAGGCCATTTTACATTTCTACTTTGGAAAGAGAAGATATTTGAATTAAGTAATTTTTTTTCTGCATGCGAGCATATACCTATCTTATTGGAAACCTCATTTTGTGGCCACTGGGCACAATCAAAGCAGCAATATGCTGTTAGTTTCTGATGAATTTTCCTAGTTTCTGATGAATTTTTCTGAATCCAGCAGTACATGTCACACTACACATGGAGGAGGGAACCTGATGTAATGTGTGTGTGTGTGTGTGTGTGTGTGTGTGTGTGTATAATGTGTATAATTATATATATATATATATATATATATATATATATATGTTTACATATATATGTAACAAAATTTCATAGTTTATATGTAGTTACATTTTATATATATATACATATATATGTGTCATTAACAGATATTGCAATACATATACATCTAATAATCAGCATCAGTTATCAATTTCAGGCACCTTATTATCTTGAATAAGCCTTCAATGCACTCAATGTCACACAATATTTACCACATCATGTAATATTACATGTGTAACATTTCAGTTGTATAGTTTTGAAATTTTTCCCCTAAAGTGATTAAATGTAAACATTATGTGTCATTAGTCTCTCTCAGATGATTTATAAATAAAAATAAGAATACTGTGTTGGGTGGGGAGAAAAGGTAGGGTAGATCAAGTAGGAGTTGATTGATGAATATGAACAAAGTATGTTATACAAGGTTCTATAGAATCACTAAAACTTTTCTAAGTTTAAAACAAAACCTGGAATGGGGAGAAATATTTCTATTAATGAGTATATACTGTACTTCGTTAGGTACAATATTCAAACAGAATCACAAAATTTTATGGTTTAAATGTAGTTATAAAATTTAGATTATATATAATTATATATTATATATTTATATATCATAATTACATATAACATATGATATATATATACATAAATTTAAATTTCAGAGATGGGTTTCTCTATTGTGGAGTAAATAGGCATGTAACTACATTTGAACATGGAATCCAGAGACCTTCAACCTCTAGATTCATAGGAAGTTGTGAGTTATCAAATTTTCATGCTGGTAACTGAGGATGGGCCTTTTGCAATGAAATACTACTCATCTGCTAAAAATGAGGACATCATGAATTTTGCGGGCAAATGGGTGAAACAAGAAAACATCATCCTGAGTGAGATAACCTAGACCCAAAAGAACTTACATGGTATATCTTCGTTAATAAGTGGATATTAACCAAAAAGCTCAGAATGCCTGTGATACAACTCACAGACCATATGAAGCTTACTGAGAAGGAAGGCCCAAGTGTGATACTGCAATCCTTCTTAGAAGGGGAAACAAAATAATCACAAGAGACAAGAGAGCAGTCCAAAGGGCCAGGAGAAGGAGTAGAAATAAGTAGCAGTAGAGGGTGGAGAACTTGGGAAACCACTACAAAGTCTAGGATGGCAGGTGTTCGAGAGGCTCCAGGACCCAATAGGCATGAGATTAGCCAAAATACCCAACTGCAGAAAGATAGAACCTTAAGAGAACACCTCCAGTAGGTAAACATGTTCCCCAGTGCAGGGATGAGGTCACTCAAACATCTCAAAAAATTTAAACCAGAGTTGTTCCTGTCTACAAGAAATATAGGGAGAAAAATGGAGCAGAGACTGAAGGAAAGGTCATCCAGAGACAATCCCACCATGTGATCCATTCCATCTGCAGACACCAAACTCTGACACCATCGCTGATGTCAAGATGTGCTTGCATTCAGGAGCCTGGTATAACTGTCCTCTGAGAGGTTCTGCCAGCACCTGAGTAAGACAGAGGCAGATACACCCAAAGATTGGACTGAGTCCAGGGATGCCAATGGAAGAGTTAGGGGAAGGGCTGAAGGAAGTGAAGGGGGTTGCAACCCCATAGGAAGAACATCAATATCAATTAACTAGACCCCTCAGAGTCTCCCAGGGACTGAACAACCAACCAAAGCATATACATGGGCCAGTCCATGGCTCCTGCTACATATGTAGCAGAGGACTGCCTTGTCTGGCATCAGTGAGAGGGGAGGCACTTGGTTTTGTGGAGGCTTGTTGCCCCAGCATAGGGGGATGCTAGAGTGGTGAGGCAGGAGTGGGTAGGTAGGTAGGGGAGCACCTTCTTACAAGCAAAGGGAAGTGGAGTGGGGTGGGAGGTTCATGGAAGAGAGACTGGAAAGGAGAATAACATTTGAAATGCAAACAAATAAACTAATAAATAAATTTTTAAAAAGATTCTATTATAACCCAGTGAAGTACCAACCATCCAGAAAATGTATTCAGTGATAATGGATAGTTAGAGTTAAATACTCCACTTCATTTTGGGGGGCATAGAATTCAGTGTGGTCATTATAAGTAGTTCAAAAATTACAAATCAAATTCTTTCATTTCATTTGAGTAAAATGTATGAAATTGTTCACAATCATCTTAATAAGATGTGAAGAAACTTCAACTGAAGAAATATTTCATCAAAAGATCCTGACTATTAGGGACTGAAGATCAGGGAAGAGATCACCATTATAACTCAGTGAAATGAATGTCTACATAGTTACTGATATTGGACAGGATGGGTATTGTATCTGTGTAATTTCAGGCATTATAGGATTTAGCATGATGACTGGTCTCCAGATGACAGGAATCATGGGACATTTGAGGAGATTTTGTGAACATGACTAGCATGCAATAGTATATGTACAACAGAAAGAATGCTTAACTTCTGGCTCAATGTTGTATGTCAGACTACCCTTCCCTAGAGTAACCAATGGAAGACATAATTTCCCATGATTCAACTCAAAGTCTTAATAACATGGGACCATTATGAACTTCTGAACTCTTGTCTTACTATGGAAGTTCTGATAAATTTCATTATCATGATTGCTAATTGTGTTCATACATATGTCTGTTAACCCATGGGGTGGCCCAAGCTGCTCAGGAGATTGTCCCTTGAGTAGATGCCATGGACAGTTATAAAATCATGACACCTGAGGATGGAGAACATGAACTTTACAACATGTTTTTAGAAATGTTTTGATCAAAAGTTTTCAGACCTCAGATGCAGAGCTTGAGGCCAGATTTTTTCAGATGTATCCAGGGAACATGGCACAGGGTGAATGGAAATAAAATGTAGAATATAATTAAGTGGATTTTCAGACAGCAGTAGCCTTAAAACAGACACATAGGTGTGAATGTGTGTGTGATGTTTGTCTGTGTAAGAAACAGATATCACAATTGCTCCATCTTAGATCCTAGCAGAAGACATGAAGAAGCTGTGTGTTTTCACTATTTCCTTCTCGCTCCTGAAGTTTTCTCTCATCTTGTGCAGTTTGACTGAACCCAGTTGCTTTTGGAGGATAAAGAATAATGTAGATAATGATGGAGATTTGAGAAGTGACTGCGGTTTTGTTCTTTTAACAATGGACTGGCCTATAGAAGAAGATTTTTATAATCATGTTATCAATTTTAGGTAAGTTATTAAGTTTATTTCCTGCTTCAGTGTCATGAATTAGAAATATATAGCTGAGTACACAACTGAGGGATTCTGTCCTGTTCTTCCGATAACATTAGGAAGTTCTGAAAATTAATTATTGAATCAATCTCTACAATCTCTACTTTAATTCTTTCAAATGTGTCACAGTTTATTTTGGTTTTAGTACATTGGTCTCCAGGTCACAAACAGGACAGTGATAGAGACTGGATTCTATACTTTGCCTCCTTCTGTATTTCAGATGTTGAAAGATGGCATTGCACAAGGTGTCTTGGTCTGTTTTGAATTCACAATTCTCCCCACTCTTAAGAGCTCAATATGAAGAGGCTGCATGTCTTCAATTGTCTGCCAAAGATTCCAATATGAGCATACATTCTAAAAGCCTTCATAAAAAATTTATTTAATTTAGGTCTCTAACTTTTGGGCACACATTTATACCTTGAAATTTGTGTGTGTGTGTAGTATAAATGACTATGTGCATAATATTACATATATATTTGTCAATATACATACACATTGCTTTTAAATATAGTCTCTCAATAAGCCTCTTCTGTCATCCTGGACACTGTAAATGTAAAAAACCACCAGGCTTTGGATTATGTTGCCAGAGTACTATTTTGGTCCACTTGTGCATATGCCCGGTCACAGATTAGGTTCATGATCACTGTTAGATAGGTGGTCAATTTTCCTATTAATTGGTGAATAAGTATAACATTATAGAAATTATAGAAGGATTATTCTAGTGAATAAGAAGCTGTTCTCAATATGTCTATATAGTTCTCAGATCTCAAGTGTGAGATATCAGTGTTGGCTGCAGATCATGAGGGAAGAAGTGTTGAAATCATTCACCTTTCAAAGTGGCTGGGACTTCTTTGTTTCATGAACTGAGGTTTCCTGTGCTTTTCTATCTCTGACTCTCATCCCATCTTTTATTACTTTTTCACTTCTTTGGGATTTTAAGAATACATTTTCCTCTTGCTAGCCAAAGTACATTGTTCACACTTTGATACGTTGCTTCACATTATTATTCTGGGTACCAGGTCAGAAGTAATCTTATTTCTAATGTATCCTATGTTATTCCATACCTCATTGGGAAAATAATAGTATTTATCATTAGTGAAACTTTTGTATGTAGTAATAACGATCAGAATTACCAATATATGAACTGTGTTAATACATATTTGTAGTTTAATAAGACAAACTTTGCTGTAAATTCTCAACTGGCCATGTGTGGTATTTTTCCTTCTGATGGGAAGTAAACACTAATAGTAACAGATGTACTGGGAGACAATACTGGGAGAGATAAACACATTTTATATGAAGAACAGATCTCATTGCTCAGATATCAATTAAAGGATGGCAAAGAATTAGGAAAACGGAGATGTATAGAGGAATCTAACATCATTTTTAGTAAGTTGACATAGTAACATTCACACTAAAAGCTAAATTTAAATTGATGTGTAGATGAGCCTAAAAGATAATATTTTTGTTTTGTGGCATATTACCTTTTATATTTTGAAATGGGTATGTAAATGTAAATGAAATATATTCTAAAATAATTATCATGTTTGGTGAACATTAACATTTGAAAAATACAAAAAGTATACTCTATAAACTTCATAGAAATATCAGTATTAATAATTTTTCTCACTGTGCATGAAATTTGCATTTTCTTGATGTTTAACTGCAAAGAGTTTTTCCTATATTGAGATTTGTAAAATTCGCTTATAGAAACATAGATAATCTTTTTTTAAGTAAGCTGGTTGTTAGAAAAGTTATACAGTTATATAATACATTTTGAATACCCTCAGTATATGTCAGGTGATATCATATAATGGGTTTTGAATATATTTCTTAATGATTCACTCTTTAGTGTTTTATGCTCTTTTGCTATGTTTAATTTCCAAAGAATGTTTTGTACTCAAGCATTAGAGATAGGATCCTTAGTTATGGATATAATTAGATATGTGTTAATGATATTATAGGGTACTAAGGGATATGAATATAAAAAGAAACATGAAATATCTAGATGTATTATTTGACTCTTAAAATACTCAATGTGATAAAGATATTTGATTCATAAAAGAAATTTTTAAAAATAAAAACTTTTTTCTGTGTCACTATGCAATTTTATTTGTTGATTAAATTCTTTAATAAATAAGGGAAACTCAAAACAATAGAAAGTTATTGAAAATAGTAATTTGATGTCATTCAAGTTTCATATGTTTATTTAAAATTTAAATCTCTCTTTCTCTCTTTTTCTTTTTTTTTTTTTTTCGAAACAAGGTTTCTCTGTGTAGCCCTGGCTGTCCTGGAACTCACTCTGTAGACTAGGCTGGCCTCAAACTCAGAAATCCACCTGCCTCTGTCTCCCAAGTGCTAGGATTAAAGGCATGCGCCACCTCTCTCTCTCTCTCTCTCTCTCTCTCTCTCTCTCTCTCTCTCTCTCCTCTCTCTCTCTCTCCTCTCTCTCGTCTCAACTAGCAAGAGTCTCTCCTCACATCATGTTGGCACTGGAGATTAAACTAGTTCCTAGGATTGACAATGAACTTTATTTTTTATCTTAGTTAATCTTTTTTTTTCCTTTTTTTTAATTTTTTTTGAACATGAGATGCTTTTTTATAGCATGTTTTACAAGGGGAGGGGGTAAGAGGGGCCAGGTGGTGAAAAAGTACAGAATCTTCTTGGCCTCTGCCTTGAAACATGTCATGGTCTATACGGTACACTGCCTTGAATTATGATCTACCTGCTATTCTTCAGAAGATATGGTACACTGCTTGAGTTATGGTCTCCCTGCTATTCTTCAGAAGATATGGTACACTGCTTTGAGTCTATCTGGTTCCTGGTATGCCTGGCTTTGCCCTCGTTTCTCTCGCTAGAGAGCTTGACTTCTTGATCATCCCAACAAAAATTGGCTTTTTCCTAAACCAAGGCCGCCCTTGATATGGCCGCTAACATTGGGGAGCCTTCCTTTATGACAATATTACACCCCAAACTGACAAATGGTTGGTAACTCGAACATTTACAAGGGACTAGGATGGCTGTGAGTTAGCCCAATGACGGGATTATTGTAGGTCCACTTCCCAGGGGCCCACCCAATGCAGCCGAAAAGGAGTGTGTGGTGCTGGGAGTGGGTGCAGCCTACATGGCCTAAGACAGGGCTCTCACCCTCCTTTCACCCACCTTGGGGTCCCTTGACGTTGCCCATCGTCGACAGCCTAAAGCCTTCGACCATCGATGTGACTCATCTCACATCAATGTTTTGGGGTTGTGAACTTGTCTAGTTAATCTTTTTTTACAGTGCAGACTTTATGCCCATCCTAGTTCACCCTCTGACTGTTCCACATTTCATACCTCCTCCCCCGATCTCCAGAGCGATGTCCCCAACCCCGACGCCCACCCCACCAGAACTTCCCACTCCCTGGAGCCTCCAGTCTCTAGGGGGTTAGGTGCATCTTTTTTGAATGAGTTCAGACCAAGCAGTCCTCTGCTGTATATGTGTTGGGGGCCTCATATCAGCTCGTGTATGCTACCTGGTTGGTGAACCAGTGTCTGAGAGATCTTGGAAATCCAGGTTAGTTGAGACAGCTGGTCTTATAGGGTGAACTCCCTCCTCAGCTTCTTCCAGCTTCTACCTAATTCAACCAAAGGTGTCAACAGTTTCTGACCATGGGTTGGGAATAAATATCTGCATCCGACTCTTTCAGCTACTTGTTGGGTCTTATAGAAGGCAGTCATGATAGGCCCCTTTTTGTGAGCATGCCACAATATCAGTACTAGTATAAGGCCTTTAGGCTTCACCTGGGGATGGATTCCAATTTGGGCCTGTCACTGGACCTCCTTTTCCTCAGGTTCTTCTCCATTTTTGTCCCTGCAGTTCTTACAAACAGGAACAATACTGAGTCAAAGTGTTTGACTGTGGGATTGCAACCCCATCCTTCCACTTGATGTCCTGTCTTTCTACTGGAGATGGGCTCTACAAGTTCCCTCTCCCTACTGTAGGGCATTTCATCTAGGGTCCCTGCCTTTGAGTCCTGAACGCCTCTCACCTCCCAGGTCTCTGGTACATTCTAAAGAGTCCCCCCACCTCCTACCTACTAAGGTTGCCTGTTTTCATTCTTTCTGCTGCCTTCAGTGCTTCACTCCTGTTCCCTCCATCTACCTGATCATGATCCCCTCTTCCACTCCCTGCCCACTTTTCCACCTAGGTCCCTCCCTCCTTCTATCCCTCCCTCACTCACTCATTCCCCCATCCTGTCATTGCTTTCTTCTCTTCCCAAATAGAGATGAGGCATCCTCACTTGGGCCCTTCAGTTAGATAACCTTTTTGAGTTCTGTGTATTGTGTACTGGGTAGTCTGTACGTTTTTGGCTAATATCCACTTATTAGTGAGTACATACCATGCATGTATGCAATAAACTTCTATTGAACCAGGAGAAAATAATCAACCTCCCAAAAGGAAAAAAAATATGTAAGCAAATAAGCATAAACTTATATAATTTTATATACAGGTTCATGCATGCACATTTATACATTTCCATTCAAGTCAATTGGATCCAGCTTATATACATTCTCATAATTACATACATGCACACACTCATGCTTACATATGCATTTGGGTCAAATAAAAACCCAAAAAACAAACAGAAAAAAACAAGCACCAGTGAAGAAAAAACAAACCTATTCTGGATAAATAAAGAAATTAGTTCCAATCTTTATTGCATAATGAAAGGGAAAACTTCTACCCTTTTATTGCTAAATGAATTAAACCCAAGTCTATATAAAGAAAGTTTTGTTCTCTTTAATAAGACTGAGCCTGCCTGGCTATTAAGGAAAGAACTGTTCTGTCCCATGGTAGAGAGTAGCTTGCCTGCTCCTTCTGTTCTCCCTGAAGCTTCTTTTTTACGAATTCTCTCTCAATTCTGCATACTTCTCGCTTAGTTTTGTTAAGTTGCCTTAGAATTTCTTCATTGCTATTTTGTTTTTATTTTTGGTTTGGGTTTTTTGTTTGTTTGGTTGGTTGGTTGGTTGGTTTTTTGAGACAGAGTTTCTCTGTGTAGCCCTGTTTGTCCTGGAACTCATTCTGTAAATCATGCTTGTGATGAACTCAGAAATTCGCCTGCCTCTGCCTCCCAAGTGCTGGGATTAAAGGCATGCATCACCACTGTCCAGCCTGCCTTATAATTTCTTTTTTTTTGGGGGGGGGGGCTTTTTTTTGTTTTTTGTTTTTTCGAGACAGGGTTTCTCTGTGTAGTTCTGGCTGTCCTGGAACTCACTCTGTAGACCAGGCTGGCTCAAACTCAGAAATCCATCTGCCTCTGCCTCCCAAGTGCTGGGATTAAAGGCTTGCGCCACCACCGCCCTACACCTTATAATTTCTAAGTTATGTCACTCTGCATTCTCCTCCTAGTCTTGCTTTCTCCTCAAGCTCTGATATCACAATAATGACTTTACTCTTATTATCCTTACTCCTCATTCTATGCCTTGCATCAGGTTCTTCTTGAGTTCAGTTCTATCTAAAAAGTATTCTCCTCAGTTCTGTCTAAAAAGTTCTGTTCAGTTCTATGTGAAAAGTGTTCTGTCTAAAAGGTATCCTCAGCTCAGTTCTGTTTCTTCTCTTTGCCTCAGCACTTACACATCTTTCACAATACATGATCTTATAGCAAATAGTTCACCACAGCTTTACATATAAATTCAAATCAGAAATCAAATAAGAAGTTTACAACAGACAATGTTTACAAGCATATCCATTAGGAGTGATTATGTGGCTAACCATTCATCATTTGTCACAATTCTGCAGGTTAATGTAGAGTTAAAAACCATAACTTCTATGACTAAGTAATTAGTGAAGTGTTGTAAGGATAAAGCCAATCAATATTTTATTTTGTGTCCTAGCATTTATAGTAAATCGTTAATTCCCTTTTTAAGACCTTAGGTTAATGGTTTTCAAAGCTCTCAGAATGTGCTCTGATTAGTAGTGCCTGCTTGCTATCTCAGAAGCAATGAACTCATAACACTAAAGACTGACAGAGTTCTCATTGCAGTTTTGACTACCAGAAAGAATTTAATAGCAATGTATTATAAAAGAGCTAACGATTACTATATTTCGAGGAATTCCTATAGGATCATCATTAAGGATTAAGAAATCATCGATTTATCAATATAGCATCACTACAGTATATCTTCATCTGCAAAGATCTGCTCAAAAGGATGGGCTAATACCTAGTGGTTGTCACATATATTTAATAACAACAAGAAAGCATATAAATAGCAGGAATCATTCCTAAAATAAATGTCCTCTGGTACTTGCCTACAAGAGAAAATCTATCATAGAGTTGTTTTTTTTTTTAATCTAATGCAGACCCATCTCAGGAAGATCACCTGCTAGTTTGTAGCTTCTTCTTGTCAACTCCTGACACTAGTTCAAGAATGCCATTCAGAGATAAAAGAAGGTCTTTATGGATTTTTATGAATATAAATATTATCATACTAGAGTAACATATTTGGGGGAATATTTGAATTATATTTAACCCTAAAGATCTCTAATTTCTGAGGCATATTTAAGGAATAGTAGCACTTACACAGAAACTTAGCATTTCTCATAGTACAAAGATTACTGTAATTCAGCAGAAAATTTCATATTTTGTACATCCTCCTTAATCATCCCTGTGCCTTCTTGTAGAATACCAGCAAGAAGATATGAGGGTTTATTAGTGATGTTTTTTGCTACTGATGAGATCAACAAGAATCTTTATCTTTTACCCAACATGTCTTTGATATTCTCCCGCATTGTTGGCCTGTGTGAAGACACTTTTGGACTTCTGGATGAAAGATATTCACCACAAAGCAATGATTTTAATTTTATTAATTATAACTGTGGAATACGGACAAATTGTGATATAGAACTTACAGGACCGTCATGGATGACATCCTTAAAACTGGCAATTAATTCTAGGAGACCAAAGGTGAGAATATGTGACACTGGATGAGTTAATAATGTTCATTCCATTCATAGGAGAAAACTTGGTCTGCATGTGTTTCTATGTGTGCTGTTTTACACATACTATAAAGGATTTAAAATCAGATCTTAGACGTACTCTGGAAATAGGCAAAACTCTTTTTCTGGAATGCTCAGACTTGTCAAGAATAGAAAAGGAATAATACATGCTGTTTATAGAATAATTTTACTATCCTTAACAGGAGTTCTGAAAGGTGAGTAATGTTATTTGTATATAAGTACAAACTTCCTTAAAGTCATATTCCTCATGTGGATGTTTTGTACTCTCCTCTATATCTTTTAGGTCTTCTTTGGACCATTTAATCCTAACCTGAGTGACCATGACCAATTTCCCTATGTCTATCAGATAGCAATCAAGGACACGTGTTTGTCACATGGCATGGTATCCTTGATGCTTCATTTTAGATGGACTTGGATTGGACTGGCCATCTCAAATGATGACCATGGTATTCAGTTTCTCTCAGACTTGAGAGAAGAAATGCAAAGGCATGGGATCTGTCTAGCATTTGTGAATATGATCCCAGAAAACATGCAGATATACATGACAAAGGCTAAGATATATGATAAACAAATTATGGCATCATCAGCCAAGGTTGTTATCATTTATGGTGAAATGAACTCTACAGTAGAAGTTAGCGTTAGAAGATGGGTATATTTAGGTGCTCAGAGAATCTGGATCACAACCTCACAATGGGATGTCATCATAAATAAAAGAGATTTCAGCCTTGATTTCTTTCATGGGACTGTCACTTTTGAACACCACCACAGTGAGATTGCTAAATTAAGGAATTTTATTCAAACAATGAACACTTCCATGTATCCAGTAGACATTTCTCAGACTATGCTACTGTGGAATTATTTTAATTGTTCAATGTCTAAGAACAGCAATAGCAAAATGGATCATTTTATACTCAACAACACAGAGGAATGGACAGTACAGCACAAATTTGACATGGCCCTGAGTGAAGAAGGTTACAATTTGTATAATGCTGTGTATGCTGTGGCCCACACCTACCATGAACTCATTCTTCAAAAAGTAGAATCTCAGCAAATGGCAGGACCCAAAGGAGTGTTCACTGACTGTCAGCAGGTAAAGTTTCTTACATTTCATTATGCTTATATATATCAATGTGATCTTTAAAGGGCCCCTGAGAAACTCACATAAATTTGTTAGAGATTATTCTTGCAATAAAAAGGTTTCTATACTATAAAACTACCTAATGAGTCTTTTACATGGATATGTAACATGCACAAGGATAATATATAATAGGAGACAATATTTTTGTATGAATGTCAGTGAGTTTGTGAAAATGTGTCTCAACATTTTATGAAATGAGTTCAATATTTAAAATCGGAGTCAAAAGTTTTATCATAAAAGCATTAAGTGATAACTAGCCTAGAATAATTTTCTCAAGAGTAATTTGATCAATAATTGGTACATTTGCTGTGATTAATAGTTATTCATTTAAAGTAACAGTTATTTATAAATACTTAAATGATGAAGGCTGTGTATTTTAATAGTTTTGTTTATTTCATATAAAAACTGCATGCACACGAATGACACACTACCATCCTTTGATCTCACTACTTCCAGATATTCAGACTTCCCGCTCATTCTCACATGCATGGCTTCAATTTTAAAAATTATTCTTGACAAACATGTACACACACATGCAAGAACACACATTCATATACACACACTCACATTATGTTACTTGTTATTTGGATAGCATTTATTTTAACACTTTTTGTCTTGGAATATTAAAATGAAGTATTTGAATTTTTAATTACCCATGAGTTATATTATATAAGTGCATGGGATTACTTTAATATAGCTGTCTTTTCTGAAAAATATTAAAAATTAGGGGACATTCTCAATTTTACTTTTCCTTAATCGATATGCACATGTAATCATATAAAGATGCATCTCATTTAGGTGTCTTCCTTGCTGAAAACCAGGGTATTTACTAACCCTGTTGGAGAGCTGGTGAACATGAATCACAGGGAAAATCAGTGTGCAGAGTATGACATTTTCAACATTTGGAATTTTCCACAAGGCCTTGGATTAAAAGTCAAAATAGGAAGCTATTTTCCTTGTTTCCCACAGAGCCAACAACTTCATATATCTGAAGACTTGGAGTGGGCCACAGGAGGAACATCAGTGGGTATACAATAATTTTTATTTTTACAGGATATCTAAATTTTAAAATATGAGGCATTGAAGTTATGGCTCTGTAGTTAATACCAATTGTTGTTCTTGCCAAAGGCCTAACCTCAGTTACCAGCATCAAAATTTAATAACTCACAAGTTCATGTAAATCTAGGTCATAGGAATCAAAGGCCTCTGGATTCTATGTTCAATTGTACCTGCATGCCTAGTGACCCCACACTACATAAATACATTTATTAAATTTAAAGTAATATATATAATTAAAATTTTGTAGCTATATATAACCCATGAATTTTTTGTTTCTGTGTGAACATCATTATATCCTAAAGAATTACAACATGTATTCATTAACATAAATATTTCTCCAGATTCAAGGTTTTCATTTCAACTTAGAAAAACTTCACTAGATTTTTGAGAGTTGTATATGACATGCTTTGTTGATACTCATTAGACAACTCTTTTTTGATTTATGCTACCTTCTCTCTCCAAACAACTTAATGTCTTTATTTTTTAATTTATAAAACTTGTGAGAGAAACTGAAGCCACATAAACATTCCTTTTGGATTAATAAGTTTAGAAAGAAAAATCTTAAATTGATACAACCTAAATGCTATATATATAATATTAAATGATGTAATAAATATTGTGTGACTATCAGGGCATTTCAGGGTAATAGAAAATAATAATGCACCTGAAATTGATAAGTGATGCTGGTTAGCAGAGGAATAAATATAGCCATATCTGTTAATGTCCCATAAATAAATATATGGGTCATTATACATACAGTGTATAATAAACAGACACATACACAGACACATATGTATGGGTGTATGTACAAACATATATATACATATGTATATATATTACCTCAGGTTCCCACCTCCATGTGTAGTGTGACATGCACTGCTGGATTCAGGAAAATTCATCAGGAACAAACAGCAGACTGCTGCTTTGATTGTGCCCAGTGCCCAGAAAATGAGGTTTCCAATGATACAGGTACATGTTTGCATGCAGAAAAAAAAAGGTTGAATTCTAATATCTTCTCATTCCAAACTAAAAATGTAAAATGGTCTAGATGGAAAATATAGACATAAATCTCATTGTTTCTGAATTTAATCATTTGAGTGGTATCAACTTCTTTTGTTTCCTGCAAAAAACCTGCATTATCTACAAACAACTCATTTCTCTCACAATCTGATATCTATTGATTTTATATTATGCAGAAAACATTTAGGGGACATACATCTGTAACCATTTTAAACCAAATTTAGGCATAATCTATACATAAGTTTAATCTTACATGATTCTTTGTACAAAGTAACTGGACTTCGTGATCAGTCCACATCCTTTCCCTCCAATCATTCAGCTTGGTCCCTGATAAAGACCAGATGCTTAGTGTAGCAGCTGTTGTTATTGAAATACATTTTGGGAATTCCACTTCCCTTCCTCCCCTGCCTGGTCCTGTGGGCTGGGGCAGACACAGAGTTGGTCTGCTCCTGTCCTGTGGAGATACTGACTCCTGAGTCATCCTAGAGGAGCCACTGCACTCAGAGCAGCCGAGGAGCCACTGCACTCAGAGCAGCTGACAGAGTTGATCTACTCCTGTCCTGTGGAGATACTGACTCCTGAGTCATCCTAGAGGAGCCACTGCACTCAGAGCAGCCGAGTAGCCACTGCACTCAGAGCAGCAGACACCAAGATTAGGATCATAAGACTACAGAGACATCTGGACCCTGAGGAGCTCTGCAACAAGCAAGATAACTGGAAATACAGACTCCAGTCTTACACAGTGAGGGCAGGCAACACTAGAGTTAACCAGATGGCAAAAGGCAAGCGCAAGAACATAAGCAACAGAAACCAAAGTTTCTTGGCATCATCAGTACCCAGTTCTCCCAGTATAGCAAGCCCTGAACACCCCATCACACCTGAAAAGCAGAATTCAGAATTTAAATCACTTCTCATGATGATGATAGAGGATTATAAGAAGGAATTAAGTAACTCCCTTAAAGAAATACAGGAGAGTACAAGTAACAGATAGAAGCCCTTAAAGAGGAATCACAGAAATCCCTTAAGGAAATGCAAGAAAACACAAAGAAGGAATTAAACAAAAACATTCAGGATCTGAAAATGGAAATAGAAACAATAAAGAAAGCTCAAAGGGAGACAACCATGGAAATAGAAAACTTAAGAAAGAGATCAGGAGTCATAGACACAAGCATCACCAACCGAATACAAGAGATAGAAGAGAGAATCTCAAATGCAGAAGATACTATGGAAAATATTGACACAGTTGTCAAAGAAAATGTAAAATGCAAAAAACTCCTAACTCAAAACATCCAGGAAATCCAGGACACAATGAGAAGACCAAACCTAAGGATAATAGGTATAGACAAGAATGAAGATTCCCAACTTAAAGGGACAGTAAATATCCTCAACAAAATTATTGAGGAGAACTTCCCTAACCTAAAGAACAAGATGCCCATAAACGAACAAGAAGCCTACAGAACACCAAATAGACTAGACCAGAAAAGAAATACCTCCCGTCACATAATAATCAAAACATCAGATGCACAAAACAAAGAAAAAAATACTAAAAGCAGTAAGGGAAAAAGGTCAAGTAACGTACAAAGGCAGACCTATAAGAATTACACCAGAGACTATAAAAGCCAGAAGAGCCTGGACGGACATCATACAGACCCTAAGAGAACACAATTGCCAGCCCAGATTACTACACCCAGCAAAACTCTCAATCACTATAGATGGTGAAACCAAGATATTCCATGACAAAACCAAATTTGCACAATATCTTCCCACAAACCCAGCACTTCAAAGGATAATTGATGTAAAACGCCAACATAAGGAGGGAAACTACAACCTAGAAAAAGCAAGGAAGTAATCTTCCAACAACCCCAAAAGAAGATAACTATACAAACATAACTTTACCTCTAATAGCAAAAATAACAGGAAGCCACAATCATTTTTCCTTAATATCTCTTAACATCAATGGTCTCAATTCCCCAATAAAAAGACGCAGACTATCAGACTGGATACACAAACAAGACCCAGAATTTTGCTGCATACAAGAAACGCACCTCAGTGACAAAGACAGACACTACCTCAGAATAAAAGGGTGGAAAACAATTTTCCAAGCCAATGGTCCCAAGAAACAAGCTGGAGTAGCCATTCTAATAGCAAATAAAATCGACTTTCATCCAAAATTAATCAAAAAAGATAAGGAAGGACACTTCATACTCATCAAAGGAAAAATCTACCAAGGTGAACTCTCAATTCTGAACATCTATGCTCCAAATGCAAGGGCACCTACATACATAAAAGAAACTTTACTAAAGCTCAAAACACACATTACACCTCATACAATAATAATGGGGGATTTCAACACCCCACTCTCAGCAATGGACAGATCATGGAAACAGAAACTAAACCGAGACACTTTGACATTAACAGAAGTTATGAACCAAATGGACTTAACAGACATCTATAGAACATTTCATCCTAAAACAAAAGAATATAACTTTTTCTCAGCACCTCATGGTACCTTCTCCAAAATAGACCATATAATTGGTCACAAAACAGGCCTCTACAGATACAAAAAGATTGAAATAATACCTTGCATCTTATCAGATCACCACGAAATAAGACTGGCCTTTAATAATGACAAAACCAATGGAAAACACACATGCACATGGAAACTGAACAACTCTCAACTCAATGATGACTTGCTCAAGGAAGAAATAAAGAAAGAAATTAAAGACTTTTTAGAATTCAATGAAAATGAGGACACTTCATACCAAAACTTGTGGGACTCCATGAAGGCAGTGCTAAGAGGAAAACTCATAGATCTAAGTGCCTACAAAAAGAAACTGGAAAGAGCACACACTAACAAGTTGACTGCACAACTACAAGATCTAGAACAAAAAGGAGCAAATACACCCAGGAGGAGTAGAAGGCAGGAAATAATCAAACTCAGGGCTGAAATCAACCAAATAGAAACAGAAAGAACAATACAAAATATCAATAAAACCAGGAGTTGGTTCTTTGAGAAAATCAATAAGATAGATAAACCGTTAGCCAGATTAACCAGAGGGCAAAGAGACAGTATCCAAATTAATAAAATCAGAACTGAAAAGGGAGACATAACAACAGAAACTGAAGAAATTAAAAAAATCATCAGATCCTACTACAAAGGCCTATACTCAACAAAACTGGAAAACCTGGATGAAATGGACAATTTCCTAGACAGATACCAGGTACCAAAGTTAAACCAGGAGCAGATAAACCATCTAAATAGTCCCATAACCCCTCAGGAAATAGCAGCAGTCATTAAAAGTCTCCCCACTAAAAAAAGCCCAGGACCAGATGGTTTTAGTGCTGAATTCTATCAGACCTTCAAGGAAGACCTAATACCAATTCTCTTCAAACTATTCCACAAAATAGAGACAGAAGGAACACTACCCAATTCGTTCTATGAAGCTACAATTACACTCATACCCAAACCCCACAAGGACCCGACAAAGAAAGAGAACTTCAGACCAATCTCCCTTATGAACATCAATGCAAAAAACACTCAATAAAATTCTAGCAAACCGAATCCAAGACCACATCAAAACAATCATCCATCATGATCAAGTAGGTTTTATCCCAGGAATGCAGGGATGGTTCAATATTCGGAAATCCATCAATGTAATCCACTATATAAACAAACTTAAAGAAAAAAACCACATGATCATCTCACTAGATGCTGAGAAAGCATTTGACAAAATTCAACATCCCTTCATGAGAAAAGTCTTGGAAAGATCAGGAATTCAAGGCCCCTACCTAAACATAGTAAAAGCAATTTACAGCAAACCAGTAGCCAACATCAAGCTAAATGGAGAGAAACTTGAAGCAATCCCACTAAGATCAGGGACTAGAGAAGGCTGCCCACTCTCCCCCTACCTATTCAATATAGTACTGGAAGTCCTAGCCAGAGGAATTAGACAACAAAAAGAAGTCAAAGGGATACAAATAGAAAAGGAAGAAGTCAAAATATCACTATTTGCAGATGATATGATAGTATACTTAAGTGACCCCCAAACTTCCACCAGAGAACTCCTAAACCTGATAAACAACTTCAGCAAAGTGGCTGGTTATAAAACCAACTCAAACAAATCAGTAGCCTTCCTCTACATGAAAGATAAACAGACTGAAAAAGAAATTAGGGAAATGACACCCTTCACAATAGTTGCAAATAATATGAAATACCTTGGTGTGAATCTAACCAAGCAAGTGTAAGTCCTGTATGACAAGAACTTCAAGTCCCTGAAGAAAGAAATCGAAGAAGATCTCAGAAGATGGAAAGATCTCCCATGCTCATGGATTGGCAGGATTAATATAATAAAAATGGCCATCTTGCCAAAAGCAATCTACAGATTCAATGCAATCCCCATTAAAATCCCAACTCAATTCTTCACAGAGTTAGAAAAGGAAATTCTCAAATTCATATGGAATAACAAAAAACCCAGGATAGCGAAAACTATTCTCAACAATAAAAGAACTTCTGGAGGAATCACCATCCCTGACCTCAAGCTGTACTACAGAGCAATAGTGATAAAAAAAAAAAAAACTACATGGTATTGGTACAGAGACAGGCAGGAAGATCAATGGAATAGAATTGAAGACCCAGAAATGAACCCACACTCCTATGGTCACTTGATCTTTGACAAAGGAGCTAAAACTGTCCAGTGGAAAAAGGACAGCATTTTCAACAAATGGTGCTGGTTCAACTGGAAGACAACATGTAGAAGAATGAAAATTGATCCATTCTTATCTCCTTGTACAAAGCTCAAGTCTAAGTGGATAAAGGACCTCCACATAAAACTAGATACACTGAAACTAATAGAAGAGAAAGTGGGGAAGACCCTCGAATACTTGGGCACAGGGGAAAAGTTCCTGAACAGAACACCAATGGCATATGCTCTAAGATAAAGAATTGACAAATGGGACTTCATAAAATTGCAAAGTTTCTGTAAGGCAAAGGACACTGTCAATAGGACAAAATGACAACCAACAAATTGGGAAAAGATCTTTACCAATCCTACATCTGATAGAGGGCTAATATCCAATATATACAAAGAACTCAAGAAAGTAGACTCCAGACAACCAAATTACCCTATTAAAAAAATGGGGTATAGAGCTTAACAAAGAATTTTCAATGGAAGAAACTCGAATGGCCAAGAAGCACCTAAAGAAATGGTCAGTGTCCTTAGTCATCAGGGAAATGCAAATCAAAACAACTCTGAGATTCCATCTCACACCAGTCAGAATGGCTAAGATTAAGAACTCAGGTGATAGTAGATGCTGGCGAGAGTGTGGAGAAAGAGGAACACTCCTCCATTGTTGGTGGGACTGCAAGATGGTGCAACCACTTTGGAAATCAATCTGGCGGTTCCTCAGAAAATTGGACATAGCATTACCTGAGGATCCAGCTATACAACTCCTAGGCATATACCCAGAAGATGCTCGAACATATAACAAGGACATATGCTCAACTATGTTCATAGCAGCCTTATTTATAATAGCCAGGAGCTGGAAAGAACCCAGATGTCCTTCAACTGAGGAATGGATTCAAAGAATGTGGTATATTTACACAATGGAGTATTACTCAGCTATTAAAAACAATGAATTCGAGAGGTTCCTAGGTAAATGGATGGAACTAGAAATTATCATCCTGAGTGAAGTAAGCCAATCACAAAAGAACACACATGGTATTCACTCACTGATTATCGGATATTAGCCCAGAACCTTGAAATGCCCAAGATGCAACTCACAGGCCACATGAAGCTCATAAAAAAGGAAGACCAAGTGTGGGTGATTCAGTTCTTCTTAGAAGGAGCAACAAAATACTCAAGGGAGCAAATATGGAGACAAAGTGAGGGACAGAAACTGAAGGAGGGTCCATTTGAAGACCTTTCCACCTGAGTATCCATCCCATGTGCAGTCACCAAAGGTAGATGCTGATGTGGAAGTCAGGAAGTGCATGCTGATAAGGGCCTGATATGGATGTCTCCTCAGAGGCCTTCAAGAGTCTGACATATTCAGAGGCAGATGCTCACAACTAGCCATTGAACTGATCATGGGGTTCTCAATGGAGGAGTTAGAGTGAGGACTGAAGGAGCTGAAAGGGTTTGTGGCCCCATGAGGAGAGCAACAATACCAACCAACCACAGATCCCAGGGTCCTAACCACCAGCCTGGGAGCACTTATGGAGGGATCCAGGGCTTCAGCTGAATATGTAAGAGTGGAGGGCCCTGCCGGGCACAGGTGGAAGATGAGATCCTTGACCTCATGAAGGCTGGATGCCCCAGGGGGTGGGAATTTTGAGGGTGGGGAAGTGGGAGTGGGGAGGTAGGTGGGGGTTACATCCACGGAGAAGAAGGAGGAGGGGTAAGGGGATGGGGGGTTCCCGGGTGGGTGAGGGATGGGGTAAGGGGATAACATATGAAATGTAAATAAAATATCCAATAAAAAAAAATGCAAGGAAATAAAAAAGAATACATTTTAAGAGCATGGAAGATTTAAAGGATTAAATAGTTCTTGTCAATGAATTAGAGCAAGAGTGAAGATTTCAACAATGCACCCAGAGATGTGATAATGTATATCAGCAATCATAGCTTACATAAGAAAAGGGGATGAATGTGAGTATCCATAAACTTCATGACATCCACCTTGGAATGCATAGTTGGGAAAAAAGGTATCTTACCACAAAGAGGGGGACATGGATAGTCTGTGAGGCAAACAGCTGCAATAATGGACATACTCTTTATGCAAACAGTATTTTGCATGAGGAATTGCATGTTGTTGTGCCTATGTGAAGATACAGACAAAGGACACAACCCTCAAACCCAACAAAGTTCATACTGTAGTTCATCAACTGGCACTGAGAACTATGTCTGCACACTGCACCTGTCTGTGAGTAGAGAGTTTATGCCTTAAAAAATTAAATAATCTGAGATTTTGCATGTTATTATTCATAACACACTAGAAAACAACATTTTTTCTTTCTGCTTAATAAACAAGTTTTTTTTTCTCCTGCATTTTCCATGATGGTGTTTTGTTATGCCATAAAGCATAGGTTAATACAGAACAGGCTTATGTCAGTGCTTCCTGCAGCAATAAGTAATGGAATAAATGTACAACACCAAAATATTTTTGGGGTATCCTCTGAACAATACAAACACTCAATTATTAAGTTCATAAATATGATATGATATAAGGGTTTGTTGTTGTTCACCTGCAGATATGGAGCACTGTGTGAGATGTCCAGATGATAAGTATGCAAACTTACAGCAAACCCACTGCCTTCAAAGGGCTGTTTCATTTCTGGCTTATGAAGATCCATTGGGTATGGCTCTAGGCTGCATGGCCTTGTCCTTCTCTGTCCTCACAGTTCTAATGTTAGTCACTTTTATAAAACACAATGACACCCCCATTGTGAAGGCCAATAACCGCATTCTCAGCTACATCCTGCTCATCTCCCTCATCTTCTGTTTTCTCTGCTCACTGCTCTTCATTGGACACCCCAACCAGGCCACCTGCATCCTGCAGCAGACCATATTTGGAGTATTTTTCACAGTGGCTATTTCTACCGTGTTGGCCAAAACAATAACTGTGGTCATGGCTTTCAAGCTCACTACTCCAGGAAGAAGAATGAGAGGGATGCTGGCATCAGGGGCACCTAACTTGGTCATTCCCATTTGTACCCTAATCCAACTTGTTCTCTGTGGGACCTGGTTGGTAACATTTCCTCCCTTCATTGACAGAGATATACAATCTGAACATGGGAAGACCATCATTATTTGCAACAAAGGCTCTGTCATCGCCTTCCACTTTGTCCTGGGATACTTAGGCTCCTTGGCTCTGGGGAGCTTCACTGTGGCTTTTCTTGCTAGAAATCTTCCTGACAGATTCAATGAAGCCAAGTTCCTAACATTCAGCATGCTGATGTTCTGCAGTGTCTGGATCACCTTCCTCCCTGTCTACCACAGCACTAGGGGGAAGGTCATGGTGGTTGTGGAGGTTTTTTCCATCTTGGCTTCTAGTGCAGGGTTGCTAGGGTGTATCTTTGTCCCAAAATGTTATGTTATTTTAGTTAGACCAGATTCAAATTTTGTACAGAAGTACAAAGATAAATTGCATTATTGAAACTTTACTAGTATGAAATTTTAGATGATATTCAACATATCTTTTCCTTTATCTTAACAAAAGTAGTACTTAATCATATAAAAATTTTAATTAATATACATATTTGAACTTACAAACAGGATAGCACTGTCCATTGTCATACCAATTACTAAAGTTTAGTGGAAAATGGTTTCATTCATAAGTACACAAACCTGAAGCTATTGAGAACCAGGAGTCTCAATTGAGAAATGGCTACCATTATTTTGACCTGTAGTTTTGTGTGTAAGCCATATATTTAATTAATCATTAATATAAGGTGAGCCTACTGACTGTGGACAGTGCCAACACTAGGCAAGTTGTTCTGGGAGTTATAAGAAAGAGGACTACAGACAACATAGACTTGAAGACAGCAATCAGCATTATTCCATTTGCTTTCATGGAGTGTCTACATCCAATTTCATGCCTTGGCTTCATTTAATATACTGTGACAAAGGTATATAAGTAAGCAAACACCTCTCTCACATGTTTCTTTTGATCATAGTGTTTGTTTCAACGATAGAAACTAAAACATCACCTAAATGGTAAATTGCCTCTATTGAGATTTGGAATATCATAGACTCCTGATGAAATAAAAGGCACTGATTTGAAAAGAGAAACAAGAGTGAATGTTAGCAGAGTATAAAGCACAGTGACAGTAATGCATATTTATGATGATCATCACAAAAGCGCTGGATTTTGGAATATCTTTACAGTGTACTAGGAAGATGTCAAGAATATCAGATAACATATTAAGAGTGGAACATAGTATGAAAAGGACAAGAGGGTTAAGATTGTGTCTGCAATGTAAGACTCTACCTTTATGTAAAAACACACACTTTCATTATGCAATGATTGTGTTTCATTAAGTGAGGAAAACCACTAAAGGAAATATCCCACACAAGATCTTTACCACAATAAGGTCAGTGAAGTATACAAGCATATAAATCACTCTAGATGAAGGGTCTCATCATTAATTTTATAAAAATATGAATGGTAACAATTATTTGGGTTTCACATTTCACACACAAACACGCACATACAAGCACATGCACATTATTTCTTTACATCAGGTGTTGCAGGTCAATTTCACTTTTCAATCAAAGTTCTGTTTGCTGCTCTACTTTTTAAACATTAGTTGGTAGTTTATTTTTGACATTGTAATTTAACTGCTTTGTGTTTATATTTCCTATCTTCAAAACACCATTTGTGCCCCCTCCCTGCACTCCTAAAATGTACATGCCCTCTTATTTCATCAATTCATACTGAATGTGTGTATGTATTTGCATATTCATATCTTTTTGAAATATAAATTTTAGGGACCGTGTAAAATTGCATAAATTTATGTTCTGATGGCTCATTATTGGTAGTATATCTCCAATATTTGTTCTCTGGTTGTCCCTGAGGATGACAACCTCGTCCATTCCCAGGTTTGTAGTTTCCTGTAAATGGTGTGTAGACTATACATTGACAGCTTTCTTCCTTTCAAGCTGTCATGCACACTGTGACCCTTTTTCTCATTATGTTTTGAAGGTCATATTGGTAAGACTTCATGGTGAACATTCTGCCAATCCTAGAAGATATATGTTCACAGCTAGGTTCCTTATCCTTTGACTCTCAAGAACTTTTCTACCATCTTCACTTTTCCTTGAGCCTTTGATGAGGGACCATTTTGTAAGAGGATACATTGCTTGTTTTTAAATATACATTTTGAAGAGGAGGTATCTTTATGTAGTGGGACCCACTTGGTCTTTATTCCCTTTACCTTTTCCTCTGGTAGCATGTGGTGTACTTTCTAGCAATTTGAATTCCAGTCACCAAAGGTAAAGCTTCTAGTTGGGAACCAGCTCAACTTCGCCATATTTGTTGACATAAGTAAGGTTTGTCTTCAGGATTATCTCCTTACCACCAGTTAACATAGAGCAACAATACCACTCAGGGCCCAGGGATCTATGTGGAAAAGCAGATCAATCAATATAAGGGACAGAGGTATTGGGTGACTTCAGTAAAACAGTGTCATTAAGAAAAAGGACTGATAATCATATGAACTCACAGAGATTTCTGAGCACTCATAAGACTCACACAAGATCAGTGTCCCAATATTGACAAGGAGACATGAACAACTGCAAACACATTATAAATTTAGAATATGTGGCCATATATGTCAAGAAACATTCTTTTGTTATCTTGACGTTACTCTACATTGATGTTCCATCACCTGATAAAGAAACTGAGAAAAGAAAACATAAATATCTACATAAATACATTCTAAATAAAATAAAACAAAACCACACATGAGTGAATACTCTTTTCTACAATTGGTCATGTAGTACCTTGGAAGGCAGCCGGTTTCTGGTCAAGCACAGGCTGGAAACCCTGGTTACCCCAGGTGATACTGAGGGATGGCAGGCGTTTTATCATGCCCCCAGAATCCAGGATTCTGAGATGAGGCCTCCATCAGTCCTTCACTCATGTAAGGGCAATGGCCCTACACTCCCCTGCACTCACAGGTAGAGGATATGACCACAAGTCACATAGCTTCAAGACTGATCTCTATTTCAATAAGGTACCTAAAGGCCAAAACGGTGTAGCCAATTAAGCTTTCCTTCCCAGATACTCATCCCTGCAAAAGGTATTTAACCTCAGGCCAGCCCTGAGAAAAGGAGGTATGGTTTTCACTCATCACCACTCTCTGCAATGATTTAAATAAATGCTTTAAAACCATGGACTGTCTCTCTTTTCATCAGCATCTACCATGGGGAGCGTTGGAGAAGGCCTTCGCCTACAAAGCCTCCCTATAATCTCCTTCAGAAGACCTCTCAGCACTCCCAGCCGCTGAGACCAAAAACCCAAGCCAGCTGCCCACGACAAACCAAGAACTCTCATCCCCATACCCAGAGGCATTATGGGTTGAGCAAAGTCAAACTTCCCGAGTCCTGCCTCCCCAAGCAGCCCTAGACCCATGGTGGGGCAGACACAGGACACTACTGAACCCAACAAGAAAACACAATTGTCTACATAAATTAAATAAAAGATTCTAGTTCTGCATTTAATCCTGCATTCTAAATTAAATAAAACAAAACCACACATGAGTGGATCCTCTTTTCTACAATTGGTCATGTGGCCTAAGCTGACATTTATAAGTAATTTCTCTTCTATTCATTTTATATTTTCTCCACCTTCCTCTACCAGCACCTGAGCAAGTTGTGACCCTTTCCACAGGTTGTGATGCCTACCTGTATTTCTGATGTATCTGTATCCTTTGTCATCATGATTGGAATAGCCTGTTTTATTTTCCAATTTAATTTAATTAAAGACTTGGTATTACCAGGAGATATCCTAAAGGATCTCCTGCACTTCAGATATAAGATGTGTAATCCCAATTTTGGGCCCATTGTCACACTTCCCTGGACATGAAGTAAGTTTGTGAGTCTGGTACAATATTGTGTCAAATACGTTTTTGGAGAATGAAATTCTACGTAAGACATTCAGTAAGATTGAGGTTTTTGGGATAGCATGCATGCAGGAAAGATAATCCACAGGCAAAAGAGTATCAATTCAGGTAAGAACAAAGTGTTGTCCTTTTTAGAGAGGAAAGAGTCCAATGTAGTCACCCTGCAACCACAGTTTTGGCAGGTAACCCTAAAGAACGATGTCATGTCTGTGGCTCAATGTTGGTCTCTTCTGGTAGACATAGCCTTCAGCAGCAACTGCAGCCAGGGGAGCCTTGCATAACCTCCATCATTTCCATCATGACCACACTTCTATGGGCTCACTGGACAATGATCGGAATGACTGGAGAAAGAGATTGACAGTACACATTACAGGTTATCCTATCTACTTGATTACTGAGCAAATCCTCAGCCAAGGTCAACTTTTGATGAAAATTTAAGAGAAGAACAATTGTCAGGCTATAGAAGGGCATCATGGGTTGACTTTGTCCTAGAACCTCAAGACTGCAGGTGTTTGGCCATGCCCCCAGAACCCAGGGCACTAACATGTGGTCTCATCTCCATTTAACCTGCACTGTCAGTCATGTAAGACACAGGTAGAGGGCATGACTAACAGGCCTCTGCCTTGAGAGATTTACATATTAATAAGGCCGGGGGCCCTAGATAATTAAGTTATTCCTCCCTAGTCCCTCCTCCTTCCCACCCTCTATATAAGACAGCTCTCCCCAGACTAGTGGGGGGGGGGCGCATCCACATTCAGATCCAACTTTTCTGTCATGGATAATAAAACTTTCATCTTGGATTAAACATGTCTCCTGGAACCTTGGACTTTCTCGTGTATATGGGAAAACTCTGCCACAAGAAAAGCCTCTGAGACAGGCACACCGCCACCGCAGTCCATCCTGTGTCCCCACATTGCTGCTCCGGGGACTCTCCATGCACGAGTTTTTTCCCATCAAACAATTATTTTAAAATCTTTTGACCATTTGTTGAGTTCTATCCACACACTTCTTTCCCAGATGTCTTTTTCAATAATGTTCTTTTTTTCATTTAATTTAATTCGGTTTAATTTTTACCTTTATATTTTTTCTTTATGAATTTCACATCATGTACCTCACAGATTAATTTGATAAGGCAAATGCAAACCATTGTGCATTAGGTTTTTTTTTTTCACCTTGAAACAAATTAGAGTCACTTGAGAGGAGAGAATATGAACATGACTTTAGGGCATTTCCTTTATAAATAATCAGTGTGGCAGCACCCAACCCAATGTGGGCAGTAGTATCCTTAGCTATACTGGACTGTGCAGGAGAGAAAAGCAGGCCGAGCAAGCCAGTGATTTGTATTCCACCATGGTCTGCTTCAGTTCCTCCCTAGGTTTCCCCTATGCCAGACTATAAACAGGAAGCCAAATGAATCCTATAATTCTTCATGTTGGTTTAGTCATTGATTTAGCACAGCAACAGAAATCAAATTGTAACTTGTTGTCAAAATTGATGCAAATCAAGGACTGTGTCTTAAGCATAAAACAAT